GTTAAGGCCCAGCTTCTGAGCCATGTAGACCTGGAGTCCAGGCTGGCTCCACCTCTCTGTGCCTGTGTGACCTTGGGCAAGCCTGAGTTTCTCATGTGTAAAATGGGGATGACGACCACGCTTCCCCAAAGCTGTTGAGATAACTGAATGTGATAATGGATGTGAAAATATAGCAGACTGCCCAGCACAGAGTAAGAGCTCAGAAACTGTTTTGCTTCTACTCTACAGCAATGTGTGAGGGGAGAGAGAAGTCCTCTTCTCCTTCCCTCCTTTACTTTTCGCTTGAGATCACACCTATCATTTCTAAGCACTGTCAAAGTTCCAAACCTTCTCTGAGATCAGACCCCACCCCTTTCCTTACTGTGAACTGGACATCACTGTTCAGACCTCTCAAAGACATCTCCAGTTCACCCAAAACAGAACTCATTCTCTCCTCCCCCAAAACAGCCTCCTCAGAGTTCTCCATTTCCATGAAAGATATCGGAATCCTTCTGGTTCAGAGCCTGGATCTGTGCACTGGGCTAGGGCTGGAAGCTGCTTCTGGACGAGACCAGAGCCAATCAGCTGCCAAGTCCTGGCAATGAAATTCCCAAACCTCTTCTACAGTTTTCTTTTCCCTGCAGCCTCACTACCTCTGCCTTGGCCCAGGGTCCTGCTGCCTCTTACTGGGACAACTGCAATGGGGTTTGATCTGATCTCCCAATTTCCACTTTGCCTGCCTCCCTCCTTCTCTCCCTTCCATCCTCTTTCCCTCCTTCCCTTCCATTTTAAAAATTCATTCAAGGTGAAAGTCCTTCATTCTAAGTTCAAAGAAAGTTAAAAAGAACAAAGAGAGCCACTTTATAAGTGAAGGCTTTAATCCATAATGAGGTTATGATTACCGTATCTCAAATATCTATCATCCATTCATTCTCTTATTAATTCATTCAGCCAACATTTACTGAGTGCCTACCACACATATGCACTATGAGGAAGGATACCCAGATGAAATTGGTTAGATTTCCTAATGCTCAGCTCTATCAAGGACCTATCAATGGCTCTTCCACCCCTAGAATTGTGTACAGATTCCTAGGGACAAATGCATGGAAATGGTCGATGTAACACACAGATCAAATGAAAATACACAGAAGGCCAAAGGTAAATGGTTCAAAGCCTTCTCGTTTTGACCCTGT